CGCGAATCATCCTTGGAAGGAATCGGTGTTCTTTAGCGAGGATTTGTGGTCTATCAAATCTAATGTAGTGACGAGGGCGATCGTGGACGTGTTCACAGATCATAGTTTAAAAGGATGCCTTTCAATTACATTCTGTACTATGTTATATAATAGGGTTGGTAACCCTATTTCTCACTCTTACAAACCTCAGTGTTGACTTAATTTGTCTATCGAAATTAACTAAACCAGATACGAGCAAAATTTTCGAAAGCTTGTTTACAAAAATTGTTGTCTACGGAAAAACACTGTAACAAAAGTAATAACGTCAGATAAAAAATATGCGTGAGATTTACCAACGTTGTTAGAGATTGCAGCGTGTCGCGTGGAATGTTGCCAAGAGATGGTTTGGCTGGCAACCGTGCAGATATATCAGCAGGTTTGTTCTATATTGTACAAAGGCATTCATAAGTAAATCGTTCAAGACATAATCACATATTATTAGTGTGCGGATTATTTTGATGTCTCCGAACATTACTACATCTCTAGTTATGCTTCGTCGATCGTATTATGGAATCGTATCCATGAATTGTATTTGAATATTAGATATTGAATAAATATTGATGTATCGGTTTATATCTACGTGATTTTGTAACTTTGTAAGGAAGTCGATATTTAGTAATATACGGTAATACGCGATTGTTAATGGTTCGGTCCATCGGTCTGCTTATATACAAAGATTATTGTAAACTGTAATACGAGTATCTAAGTATGTCAATACCTGTTGGTTAGTATCTGTGATACTCCTAAACGAGTATATTCTACAACGAACAATCGCAGTAGATATATCTGTTTTATTACATTATAATATCTTACATCCACTCGTGCGTTCATGGTTCTATCACAGTTCAAATCAGTGTATAGATATATTACTTTATTATTATATCTTTATCTATATTAGTATAGATATTTTACTTTATTATTATATCTTTGATTTTTATGTCACATGTTTTCAAAGAGTACCTACATAGATCACTACGTTTGATGTTTTGTCAAGTGACGCTGTACTACAGCCATCTGCTACAGCGGTACCTAATACATAGTTTGTCGCTCGATACATAGATATTGGGTATTGTACCGCTATATAGTTGTATTTAGGTATATACGATTTAAATCACACACTCCTAGTTATTGTGAATTTTGAAATTTTATGTCTAATAGTTTTAAATTAATTCTTAAGACGAGATCCGGGCTGGAAGAAATTTGAAGAATAGATTTTTTTTACAGATATATTGTTAAAGTTGGTAAAAAATTACCTGGTGTACATCCGCTCGATAAAATAAAATGATGTGTCTTACCTAGTTTGAAGAGTTCGATGAGTAATAACAGAGAACTTATAAATCCATATCGTCCCGTTTGTGTCGTAAGAGGCGACAGAAGGAAAAAAAAAATCTCAAATCAATCAAATATCATAAACTCAAATTAACTTATCGCGGGTTGGATCCTTTTTGCATAACTACGTCCAATTATAACTTAAAATAAAAAAATTAATACAACCGACTTCAATATAAATTATTAAGAATAACTAAAAACTATTGGTCAGACGTTTATCGAATTCATATGGGACCACATGTGAAGCACCAGCTTTCAAGTAAAAAAAGGAATCATTGAAATCGGTTCACCCAGTAAAAAAATATGAGGTAACATCATACACATAAAAAAAATATAGAGTCGAATTGAGTACCGTCTCCTTTTTGAAGTCGGTAGAAAACAGAACTTATTTGTGATGGTAAGCCAATATACCCATGTCTTCCATTTTCTTTATCGACCAATAAAAGTCTAAAGCCGGACAACGGCCTCTCCCGTTGTAGGGGATTTGGCGAGCTGTAGCGGCCTAAAAAAACTCAATTTGGGCATGTAGGTGTCTTATGTGGTAGCTATCGGAAAAGCCAGAAAGTTCTTATGGTTTCGGATATAGGCGGTCTATATAATTATATCACCATCATCATTACAGCTCTGCACAAGTCCACTCCTGAACATAGGTCTCCCCCAAGGAATGCCACAAAACACGGTCCTGAGCCACCTGCATCCATCGACTTCCTGCATGTCTTACCAGGTCGTCGCTCCATCTAGTGGGGGAACGTCCTACACTTCGTCCGCTGGTACGAGGCCACCACTCGAGAACCTTTTTTCACCATCGGTTGTCGGTTCTTCGAGCTATATGACTGACTCATTGCCACTTCAGCTTACTAATCCGTTGGGCTATGTCGGTCACTCTGGTTCTACTGAAGATATCCTCATTTCTAAGTTTATCACGCAGAGAAACTCCGTGCATAGCCCTCTCCATTGCTCGCTGAGCAATCTTGACTTTCTTCATCCGGCCAGCAGTGAAGGACCACGTCTCAGTTCCACAGGTCATCCGCACTGGTTGTATTTACAAAAAAAAAACTATTTAGGCATAAGCGATTGGCAGAAGCCACATTGAGACGTTGTGCCAAACATCTCGTATTTGTATATTATGATGTAAATATATTATAATAAGTTTTTTTTTTATAGGATTGACAAGCGAGCACACAGTCCACCTGATGGTAAGTGGTTGCTGTGGCCCATAGACATCTACATCTATCCTCGTTTGCGATGCGTTGTTAGCCGTTCGGACTAAGATGGAATGCCTCGTTTCCAGTAAAAAGGATCTCCGGTTCTCTACACTCACCATACGAAACACAGCAGCATTAAGCTGCTATTTTACGCTGGTATTCTGTGAGAGCGTGGTCGTCCCCCGTTCGAGCCGACCCATTCGTGCTACAACTATACAATTAATATAGCTGCAGCATGGCTCTGCCACGTTTACTCATGATACTTAAAAGTAGCTCACGTAATGCGAGTTCTTTTTATTAAAATGGAAACATATCCAAAAATATAAATTAGCACAAATTTATGATCTCCGCATCGAATATGTACGACGTCATGGATTCAAAATTAAAGTCATTAATCCGATGGCATTTCAATATAGCTTCGACCCGCTCCCGATCTATAAATTAAAGCGTGAGCAATTACGATCTGCCCGTCGGAAAAACCTTATTTATTATGGCACATACGCTGCCAACTTTTTTTTTAATTTACAGTAGCCCTAGGAAAAACCTCAAACCTATTTGTAAAAATATTAAAATTATATTATTCGAGTAAAATCATACAAAATAATGTTTTTTTTTCATAGAAGAGGGGGCAAACGAGCACGCGGCTCACCTGATGGTAAGTGAATACTGCCGCCCATGAACAACCGCAACATCAGGGGGATTGCAGATGCGTTGCCGGCCTTTTAGAGAGATGTAAGCTCTTTTCTTGAAAGTCCCTTAGTCGTATCGGTCCGGCAAAATTGTGTTGTGTTATGCTGGTATTTTGTAAAAGCCTGGTTCTCTCTCGATTAGCCTGACCCATCCGTGCCACAACCATAAAATAGCTGCAGCATGGCTCTACCTTATCGAGCTAAATCAGAATTTGAAAATATCAAAAAATAAAAAGTCATTTTTAATATTCTGCATGATCGTTTTGGCATGTCAAAGGTGTGGTAACGAGAATTATAACGCCGCACCAAAAGCAGCGGCGCGTACCGCCTTACCGTGAGTATTTGTTTCCTTGCAGCGAGAGCAAGGAGGAATTATTGGATTTAATTGTTCCTGAAGATGAGACTTAAGTGTATCATTATTAGCCTAGGTTTAAGTAGAACTCGATGCAGAGGCACAAAAGAGCACATCACTCTAGAATTTCAATGTCTTTATCAACCGGAAAATCATGGCTACAGTTTTTTTGAAGTTCAACAAAAGGATTTCTTTTATTGGGTTATAAACATGGATACTATACTAGAACTATAACTACTATTTTAAAAGGTTAAAGATGATGTCGGGGAAAAAGGCAAATAAAATAGTTGCTCAATTTTGCCTTTTGTGTTTTTATACAAAAGCGACTACGCGCCAGGGGACAAGGCCAAAGATAAATATATATGTAGGACAAGGCGCTTGAAGCGTTGACAGTCTAGCGATTATTATTTATTTGCAAAGATGAAAGAGAGAGCCTCAGGATATAAAATAAGTGACGATGAGGCTAAGATCACGATTTCTAATTTGTTTTTGTTTTGATCGTACAAAAGTGGGGTGCCTAACAAAATGGATTCCTGGCAGAAAGTAGACACCGCTGGCTTTTACGAGTAATACTCGTATCTCTACATTGACAAAACAAAGTAGCTTCCCGCCGTTTGTATACTATGTATGTATGTATGTATCTTTTAAACTACGCAACAGATTTCGATGCGATTTTCATCGATAGGCAGAACGATTCAAGGGGAAGGTTTGTATGTATAATACACGCATATTAAATATTATGTAATTCTTTTGCCCGGGTGCATGTGATTGAACTCCTCCTTTACCGATTTTTATGAAATTTCGTGTGTGTGTGATTAAGTTATAAGACAATGGTTTAGATTCACAACTGGACCCGGTAGGTGGCGTTGTTGTCGAGATCCAGAAATCACCCGTGCGTAGCTGGGGCGGATCGCTAGTTATTTAATAAAACAATACTTAACTTTGTTCATAGAAGAAGGTGTGCATATTTAATGTTCTTTAAAATCTGACAAAATACTGTTATTGATTTTACGTTGCAGCTAATATAGCTGCAGCGTGGTTCTGCAGCATATATGCAGCAGGTTATGCAGCACATCCGCAGCACGAATGGGTCAATCGGGGAAGAACTACGCTTTCACAGAATGCAAGACGTCTGGTATTGCGATCGTCAATCTGTATAAGGGTAGAGGTACTTCTACCCTCCATATCTATGCGGCAGTGCGGGCGCATGGAAGGAGGCACAGAGAACCGTTTTATCGCACATACTAAGTAAGTTTGAGGTCGCGGGCTCTAAAAGTTGTTGCATCCAAACATTTCTCGGCATCTATTCTAGTACGTACATAAACTTATTCTTCAATGTGTCTATGTGGACTTTTACGGGCTAGTGAAAATCTTGAGGATATTTTTATCCCACATTCAGTTTAATCCAATTTAGCCGAATAATAAGGTTTTAAATAGGTCGAAAAGATCAAACGTTTTATATTTACCCGCCAGTAAAAAGTGTTATGGTTGGAAATAAGCTCGTCTGAAACGGTGATTTTTCTAGAAATTGTACAATACCGTTCTCGTAAAACGTCGTTATTGACACAGTTGTCGCATTTAACGTCTTATAAAATTTATTATTAAACTTCAGTCGGCCATAGTACTCCCGTCTAATTTATAAGCGTTAGAGAAAATCGTCCCGAATTTTGGTAACAAATATATTAGTGGACTAATATATTTGTCCCAATTCTTTAAATTTTAAAACAAGTTTTACTTTTTTTATTATTGCAATCAAAATGTTAGATACTACATATTTAAATAAAATAAAAAAAATATTATTCAAGTAGATACACTATGTATAAAAAACACCAGATTATCTTGCGTTATGACAAATTATCTCATAATGCCTTCCAGATCGTATTTCGGTCACTACCAGTCTCAAAAGAGACTAGCCAGAACAACGAAAGAATTATAGTGGCTGAGTGTATGCACAAGCACAGGTGCACTCTCTATTCCCTTATTCTCATAGGCCGATGGACCGCTAATCCGACACGGCTGGAGAGTGATCAGGCGCAGCACCAACAGCTTTACGTTCTTTCCGACGCATTGAGGTGAAACACCGCCAACTTCCTGACTCTGGGTTGCTACTGAGAATTTCTTGAAAAATAAACCTAATACCTGATTTTGGCCCAAACCGCGTTCAAACCCGGGAACTTATTGTCAGCAATTGCATTTACAACCACTAGACCAATGGGTTCAGCAAAAATTATCTCACAAAGTTAATACGACGACTGTTTTTAATGTAATTTAATAGACTTTTTTAACGTAGATCGGACCAAAGATTAATATTCAAAAACTGAAGGTAGCCGGGAACTATGACATCGGGACATCAAATATCTCAGTCCCCCGTGACCATGGGTGCTATAAAACACCCGAAACGTCGGGAATTAAAAAGTTAAATTAAACGCGATAAAATCCGTAAAAAATTGTTTCATTTAACAGAAAAGGAGTGGTCTTTCATCATGATAACGCTAGACCACACACATCTTGGATACTCAGCAAAAATTGATAGAGCTTGATTGGGAAGTGTTAATGCATCCACATATAGTCCTGACTTTGCACCCTGTTCCGGTCTCTTTAGAATTATTTGGGTAGTATTAGGTTAACATCAAGCGAGGACTGTCAAAACTACTTCTCGCATTTTGTTGATTATAAATCCCAAGATTTCTACAGCAATGGGATTATGTTACTACCTACAAGATGGCAACAAGTTATTGATCAAAATGGCACATATATATTATACATAATGAATTGTATATAAGATACGAAGAAACTTTTTCCCCGACCTTAAATTTTATATTTATTTACACATTATTTATTTATTTTTAGCAGATTTTTTAACACCTGCGAACTTTTGTTTCTCAATTTTGAGAAACCGTGGTAGCACGTTAGTGTTCTGGGGGTAGTAAGTGGTATATCAGGGACGTGCTAATAGTCAAGTAATGCGATGGAAGCGGCCCGGTCGGGTTCCAAAAGAACATCCCGGGACCCTCGTTTGTTCCTGGCCGAGCTGGGTGACCATTGTCAGGATTTAGCCGATATAAGTCCGGCACCTTTTCCATGGCCTCGCAGCAGAAGGTATCCATCAGGATTTCCTCACATAGAAGGTACGACAAATAGTGATTTGGAAATCGCTGTATGCTTTTGTTTTATACCGTCACGGTCTAGCGACGGGTGAAGGTCGGTGACTCATCGATCCATTATAAAGCGATATGGTTGTTTTAATTTTTTATCAACATTTTACCAAATTAAGAGTACCTTTAACCGACAAGCGTGTATGCATAGTTATATGGATGTTGAGGAAGCCAGAGAAGTGTGTTAGGATCGTGTCAAATGGAAGTCCATAGTCTCTGCCTACCCCTCTGGGTGACAGGCGTGAGTGTTTATGTATGTTTGTAAGTTAACATAAAAAAATTGTTGAGGATCGTAGTCCTAGGTTTGAATACTGGATATGGGATGTTGTGAAGTAGTTGTGAAGAACGAAAAAGTTGTTACATATTTGTCATAGCCATTTGCTGTTGTGTATCCGATCTAGAGCAGAACATCTGTAGCATTCTTTATTTGATGTTGGTTGCAGGTGTCCATGACCTGCAGCAGCCACTTATCATCAGGTGGACTATAAGTTTGTTGGTCACGTTTTTTTTATAAAAAATTATCATCATAATGATCTTAATAACAGCCTACCAAATGTCAATGCTTATTAAAGGCCTCCACTATTGGGATAGGGACGGAATTAATCCAGATAGGGAGGAGGGGGGGGGGGGATTTTGGCAATAGTTGTCACCCGTGATAAGTTAATTGGCATCCACAGTTTCTTATTATTATTTACTATTAACGGGAAGATGCTCTGTCTAAATTAATTTCGCAACATCTGCCGCTACTTTTCTATAGAATAAAGGTGACACATGAGCTCACAGTCCACCACGGTAAGCGAATGCTGTGGCACATTGATATATGTAACTATCTTCGATTAAGAATCAAAATGTAGATGCTTTGTCACCCCTGAGGACTAAGATGGAATGCATAATTTCCAGTAAAAATGGGTCACTGGTTCTTTACACTCACCACACGAAACACAGCAGCATTAAGCTGGTATTTTGCGCTGGCATTCTGTGAAAACGTAGTGCTTCAGACACATTTGTACTACAATTATAATATAGCGGCAGTAAGGCTCTACCACATCAAAAACTTACTAGGAGAGCCCGAAAATTTGGTCTTCCCCTCAGGTTGCTTCCTAGGGGGATTTTGCCATATGATGTGGTGGATTTTCACTCCGTCAAAACACGGCGGAATTTCTATATTAAAAAAATCTTTTATTTTCCTTCTGGATCATTTCTTTGGTTCAGAAAGTGTGTTTATTAAATACTTATTAAACAAAACACTGAGTTCAAGTCTGCTAAACGAGTTTAACGATTGTTTCTAAAAACGGCTTTTACTATTAAGTACTTTGCTTTTGATAATACGTAGAATATAGAATTCGAGAATTGATATAAGTTGTTTATGTCTGTGTGCAGCAGTAGCCACACACTATTAAGTGTCATCAACATAACAATTAAATAGTACAGTGAAACGTATTTAGACAACCATGTGTCCTATATTATATTTAACAGTGGAAGAGCCACGCGGCAGCTTTTGCTGTCGCACGAATGGGCCGGCTCGAACCGGGGTGGTACCACGACCTCACAGAAAACCAGCGTGAAGTAGAGGTATACCTCTGCGTTTCGCTTGGTGAGTGCAGGTGGCCGGAGGCCCTTTTTACTGGAAATGAGGCATTCCATCTTAGTCCTCACGGGTGACAACGCATCTACATTTTGATTTGTAATAGAGGATAGATGTAGATGTCTATGGGCCGCAGCAACCACTTACCATCGGGTGGACTGTGTGCTCGTTTGTCACCCTTATCATATAAAAAAAAATGTTTTATCAAATCATCATTGGAAGTCATATGTTATTTGTGACTAATTCTAAAAATAATTTGATCTAAAAAGGTCTTTAAGTTAAAGGCTTGTGCTTGTAATGAACTACAAATCAAAGGTCATGACCGTGGACATAAAGCGTAAAAAATTTCCGATTGCGGTCAATTTGGTTGAGCAAGTGTTTCCAATTAAGACGTCACCACTGCCGCTGTGCTGCAACCGGTCAGTGTTCACCAGTTGGTTGTTAACTGCACCCTGCACTTGGATAGCAATGGCCCGGACACCTGTCTGGCTGTTTCTTTGCCTAATATCCGCGGTGGGTAAGTATATTTTCAAATACTTTTGTTCTGTTGCCCAAAGGGATATTTTAGGACCACAACTATTTCTTTATTTCATCAATATTGATAACTATGAATGCGTGGTTGAGTGGTTTTTTTTAATAATTTGTTCATTGTATAATTTTTTGATTACAAGTAATCAAGTCAGAATCTATAAAAATGAAGTTTTACATTTCGCAAAGGATTATTTGAGCAATATAGCTAGATAGAAGTGTTTGTCTTTTTTATTATTTTTATTGCGGTAACATCTTTTAAAAAGTAAACATAACATAATATATCTTAGAGCAGATAGTTTAAAAAGAAAACTGGTTTCAATTTTATTTATTGATTTTATTTACAAGAAGAGAACGACTGATTGTTTATGAATTGTAAATAATTGATGACCAAGATTTAAATTCTGGACCAATGATTCAGAAAATGGACACAGTGACTTGTAAATATTCGAAAAGCATAACATTACTGCTGCAGATAATAGAAATAAAGACTAAATTGAAGTTTAAGAAAACGTAAGCTCTAACCAGTAGCTTGTTTATTTAAACGCTATGATTTAGTTACAGTTTATTTTGTTGTAACCCTGAATTTGAATTAACATTTCAATATAGCAAAAATATTTGTAAAAATTTACAGAATTTCAGAAGCTTGAAAGTACAGCATTATTAAGTTTGGTACTTTTCCTCTAGGCGGCTGTTTCATTAAGTATATATTTTTATATTTGTTTGCTATTGCATATAGTAAACAATTTTAAATAAGCTTGTTTAAAAATTATTTAGTAAGCTGCATCTTCAAGTACATATTATGTTTTTAATATTTTAGAACTTCAAGAGGCCGCGGAAGGAGAATGTTGCGTAGAAGAAGTCCAAAATGCGATTACCGATGTTGAACTACAGGATATAGAATTAGAGAAAGCATGTCCAGAACTCAGTGGTCAAATAATAGGTGGCAGACCTAGTTCAGTGACTAGGCACCCATATCAAGTGTCTATGGTGATCAATAGAAATTCCTTTTGTGGAGGATTCATTATAAGCCGTGATTACGTGCTCACGGCAGCGCATTGTGTTTTAAAGTAAGTCATTTTAACATGATTTTGTTAGTTTGACCTGTAATGTAAGTGTATGCAGCGTTGTAGTCAGGTTTATAAGCGCCACGCAAGATTGAATTACGTTCTTTAAGACTATTTTGGTAAGAAAAGAAACAACACAATAACTTTGAAAGTTTAATTAAAGTTATGTATTACATTTAAGTATAAAATAATTCTTCCTTGCTATTTTGTAGGCAGATAAACAATACAATACAAGTTCTTGATTTAGGCTTTATAAAATTTCTAAAAATATTACTTTTCTGGTTTGGAGTAAGCATCATATTTTAATCTTGTGTACCTGTGCCTCAGCGGCTCGCAGTCTGTGGTTCTGCAAAGTGGGCAGACCCTATCTACTATGCTGATGTATGAATTAATGTAATGAGTTTTTTTAATTCAGCTTTATAACATTTATAGAAGTCTGAATAGTCTAAAATCTTGCAGATATATTAAGAACAAATTTATGAAATATTAGTTTAGCAGCCTTGTTACCAGTAAAAAGGCTTTCGGGTACTTTACACTCACCGTACAAAATACAGTGGCAGCATTAAGCTGTAAGCAGGTATTCTGTGAGAGAGGTTCTTCCACAGACGAGACGACCCATTCGTTCTGCAACCATAATATAGCTATCGTACTGTAGCGTAGCTCTACCACGTATGAAAGCCGTATACCATTTCCAGGTGTTAGTTATAATCTTATTATAAATTACCATAATCATTTCTAATTTAGTTTTTTTTATTTGTTTTGTTTTACCTGTTTGTTATATACAGCACAATTCCTTCCGCTATTCGTCTCCGAGTGGGCAGCACACGTCGCGACTCCGGTGGCCGTATCGTTGCTGTTTCCAACGTGACCGTTCACCCTCAGTACGGTAGGCCTCGGTTCGACAACGACATCGCAGCGTTGCGACTTGCTAGACCTCTTAACTTCAATGCAGCAATCCGACCGATACGATTGCCCCAGCCGCAGCAACCTGTGCCTCTAGTTCGGTTGACGGTTACAGGCTGGGGTCTTACTGCAGTAAGTATAGAAACTATATTTAATTTTAACTTGATGGAAATTGGAGAAAGCTAGGTCACAATCGCAGGTTCTTTTTTGTAAAACTAGTTTCAAATTGTCCCATACGAAACAGCAAATTCACATAGGTATATCATACTTAATACTATAAAAATGACACTGCCTGCCCCAGATGAAACCGACTTCAGACCGAAGAGAGACAGAAGCCTGCTAGGGCGCCGTCTATTCGCTACCATCCTCTTACCTATCTTTGCTGTGTCTGAAGAGTAAAAGATCGGGTATAAAAACTGACTCTAAGGCATTTCACCTTAGAAGATGAAATAGCAATGCAACTGTGTCCTTCTTTGTCTGAAGTTGTTCCGTTACAGCCTATTAAAGTCCACTGCAGAAAATAGGCCTCCCACATAGATTGCCTCATAGGCAATGTTTGCCATTGTTGCCATGCTTGGCAAGCGGGTTAGCAACCACAGTTTTTAAGTTTTAGTCGTGAGGAAAGGGCTGCTGCCCACCTGATTTATTTCCCTTTGTCGCCTCTTACGAGACCCACGGGATGATATGGGGTAGTGCATATTCTTGAACCGCCACTACACGCGTAGTTATCCATGGGCTGCAATACTGCTTATCACCAGGTGGACTGTTAGCTCGATTCTCACTCTTATTTTTGTTTTTGGACACAGGCATTACTAATCTACAAATGTTCTCGTCGGTCGAAATATTCGCGAGGTCATAGTACTGTATGTTTTCATAATTTTCAGCCTCGTGGTCGACGGATTCCTCGTATAATGATGGAAGCGAAAGTGCCGGTTGTTCCTCACTGGTTGTGTCGTTTATCTTATGGTGACGCTCTCACTAACAACATGTTCTGTGGTGGACATTTTCTTATAGGCGGTGTGTCTTCATGCCAGGTAAAAACTTTCTTTTTGTTTACTAATACGCAATACAATGGAATTGTTTATCTATATTTATAAATATGTACTTCTATATATAAATTATAAATGTGACGTAATTTAAATTTGAAATAATCGAAGAACATTTAATTTATCAATTTTTCTATATTTAAAAAAATCGGCCAAGTGCGAGTCGGACTCGCGCACCGAGAGTTCCAAACAAATCCATAGGTATATAAGTTTAAAATTATTAAATATATTTTTAATATATGATGTAACTAAAATTTATGCTTTTCGCAATTTTTCCTTTATCTGTGTTATAATACGTTGCTTCGAACTAAATTTTAAGATTACGAGTTCCAGGAAAGTACCCTGCAGGTTTTGATTTCCTTGCGAATGTCGAAAATTTGCGGCATAAACGGCTGTATCTTTTGATTTCGTTGGCTTAGAAATTTGATTTTTTCACAGCTCTAAAGGACAGTGGACCTGAGTATTTGATATGAATTTCAGCTTGATACCTCCACGCGTTCATGAGAAAAAGGGTCTTGATAGACAGACAGACGGACAACAAAGTGATCCTATAAGGGTACCGTTTTTTCCTTTTGGGGTACGGAACCCTAAAAATTAAGATTTTCGATAAAATATAGCCTAAATCCCCCCTAGAATTGCTCTCTATCCCTTCGTAAAGTTTCACCACATTCCGAAGATTAGCCTGGACAGACAGACAGACTGATATTTTTTTAAATTGTTGTTTATGTCTTAATAACATGCAAATAACTCCCTGAGCTTAGTAGAAGCCAGTTATTTCAATATTATAGGAAGACACTTCAATTGCCAATCCGTCCGCCAAGCGTGCCAACTATGGCAATATCCTCCCCATGAGGCAATCTATGGGAGAGGCCTTTTTATTCGGAAACTGTATGCTGTTGGCACTGCGGCCTTTATAGCTTCATCGGATTAGGCTCGTAAGTGAGGACCTACGAGCTATCGAGTGCATTGGATTCTGCCAGCGGTGAGGCGTCGCCGACTGCAGTCCCGAGGCACCCCGTACTCTGCTTTTGGAGTGAGGTACCTCGAGCTAGTGGAGCGGGAGTGGGGACTAAATGTGATTGATGCCTCTTAGAAGGTAAAAACCTCGGCTTGAACTACTATCGAAATCTGGGACATCCCTGTCTAGGGAGTACGAACTCGCTTTTACCACCAAACGGATTAAGATGTTCTTTATTCGAATTATAATACTCATTATTCTATTTTATATTTATATTTTTGTTTATGGCATAAGGGTGACAAACAAGCACACAGTCCACCTGATGGTAAGTGGTTGCTGTGGCCCATAGACATCTACATTTATCCTCGATTACGAATCAAAATGCAGATGCGATGTCACCCGTGAGGACCAACATGGAATGCCTCGTTTCCAGTAAAAAGGGTCTCCGGTTCTCTACACTCACCATACGAAATACAATATTTAATAATATTAAGGTGCTATTTGAAGCTGGTATTCTCTGAGAGCGTGGTCCTTCCCCGGCCGAGTCGACCTATTCGTGTTACAACTATACTAATAATATAGCTGCAGCATGGCTCTACCACGTACAAAATTATATATTCGATTTTAAAATTTTTATTTTTTAATATCCTTATATAAGCCATTCACTTTAATCATCATCATCATTAAAGTCACCAATACAGTCAATCAAAAATCCTCAAATGAACGAAGGCCATCCTCATAGTCGCTACGCTTGGCAGGCGGGTTGGCAACCACAGTTTTTTCATTATTTTGAGTTGTTACTAGAAAGATGCTGCTGCCCATCTCCCTGTTTTATTTTCCTTTGTCATCTCTTACAACACCTACAGGATGACATGGGGTAGTGGATATTCTTACACCACAATTACGCAGTTATTGTCTCTCTTTATTTGCATATAAATTGCATTTCGCTTCTTTCAAAACAATGGATCCCTTAGTCCGAAGTCCGAACTCACACTTTAAGTTCTATTGCATCAATTTCATAATATTGATTGCTCGTACAATCTGTACGCAGATTATATGCAGTTGTATGTGCAATGTAGCGTTGAAGGTTTAAATAACTGGGTTTATATACTAAACCAAAATTTAAACACTATTAAATATTAGCCCTGTATACTCGTAGTCTGTGCAAATCCAGTAAAATGCCCAAGCGGTTTTATTCAGCAGTAAAATGTTATTGGCTAAAGTTACCTCCTATTTATTATCCCAAATTTATTATTCCATTTAGTAAGTCTGATAAAAAACCCTTGGTAATAAAGTAATATTCATAGATCTTTGAACTGGAAAGTTCAGGTTACCGATTTATGTCGGAAAGTCATCGCCACCTTACGTTCCCTTTATCGTCTAAAACATTTTCTTCCCATTAAGTCTAAGTGCATGCTTGTCCAAACTCTTATTTCACCTATTTTTAATTATGCAGATGTGTGCTACCCACACCTCTCCCAAGAACTTCTTAACAAGCTGGAGCACCTGCTTAACAGTTGTTAAGCAGGCGCTCCAGCTTATTTTTGTCTGCAAATTGTAAAATTGTATTGCATTAGATTTATTTTTGGTCTGCGAACTATGGCCATAGTTCTCAATATAGATCACAGCTTAAGCGCCTCACCATAAGGCAGACTCCAGAATATTACTTGTTCTTTTTTCAATTCGAAATGATCAATGTTCGCCTTCTTACCTTAAAGACCGATTTCAGTATGTATGTTCTTGTCATGACAGAGTTCTTTGATATTCCTCTAACAACAAGATTTATATTCTTATTCATCTCAACGGGTTCTATGGTAACTCATTCTTTTTTGAAATTCCTTGCCCGATGACATCAGAAAAAGGTGTAGCAAGTACTCCTTTAAAAATTTGAATTACAATATTGTTAAATAGTGGTATTTAGACATGTATAAATTTTATGTATAAATTTTTGTATTTATGTATTTGGTATTACAATATTATATCAAAATATATTTGATTACTTATAACGTGTATTTATTTTAGTTTCTTTTCTTTTTTTTGTTCAATTGCTACACCTAAGTGAAATTCTCGTCACTCCATGAGTTGATTGGTAGAGAATGCCTTTAGGCATTAAGTCCGCCTTTTGTATCCTTTTCTTTTCTAAGGGAATGCAAAAAACATTTGCAAAATAAAAAAATAAAATAAATTCGGAAGTAATAATAGTTTGTTATTGGTACTTGACAGTAGGATTACGCAATTAATTTGAATCACCAGGTACAATGTAGCGAGATTCTAGTACAGCTATATTTAGCATCGCCAGCTAAAAAGGTTAACAACCTATATTAGAAGACGTTTTAAACTGTCTTTATATACAACACATTTCCTTAGTATCTAGTTACTTTAGTAAAAATAGACTACTTAATTATACTATTTTCATCATATACGTTTTCTTAAAATTTATATACGTACGTACAACTAATGATTTATTATATTTACGCGAAGACTACACATTAAATGAAACTAATTTGTACTGATTCTATCGTGCTTTATTTAACTTTTTCATTCCCGACGTTTCTGGTGCTTTACAGCACCCATGGTCACTTGGGACTGGAGGGTGGACTGAAGTGTTTGACGTCCCGATGTCATAGTTAGCCCGGCTACCATGGGTGTGACCATGAGTGCTGTAAATCACTCGAAACGTCGGGAATTAAAAAGTTAAATTAAACGCGATGGAATCCGTAAATTAGTTTCTTTACAGTTCAGTCAGTTACAACGTTTTATAAATAACTTTCTTTTTAGAGAACAACTAGCTGGCCAGGCTTAAAAATATTGAGGGTCACTTATCGAGGTAAAATCTATCCTACCTCTCTTGTTGGACCGAACTGCGCAGTGCACAAAATAATAATGTGACACGTAATTTCTGTTTAAAAGATAATAACAAACGAGCGCACAGTCCACCCGACGTTAAGTGCATTCTGTGGCCCATAGATATCCACCTATCCATCCATACATCCAGACAGACAGCCTATCCTCGATTAAGAATCAAAATATAAAAGAAAGATGCGCTGTCACCCGCGAGGACCAAGATGGAATGCCTCGTTACCAGCAATAGTGTCCCTATTCGTTCTACAACCATAATATAGCTTCAAAGTGGTGTTATCACGCATAAATTTGATAGCGATGACATCATTCTTACTTGCTATCGTCGCTTACCGTTGCCTGCTTATTATTTTTGTCTGCGGTCTAGTAGTCCTAAGCGCATCTGTTAATCATGGATCATGTGATCCTAGGTGAACCTTAGGTCTAGCCAAAATCAGTTATTTGCTTTACCTGTCAGAAAATTCTCAGTACCAGCCCGGAGTTAGGAAGTTGGCGGTCCTGAACCTAATTTCTCTCTGGTAGAGAATGCTTTTGCCTGAACTTGCAAATACAATCGGTCACTATGATTCTGTCCTGCGTAAATGGATAGTCTCCGTTGACACTGGCTACCGAGACCGATATATTTCATTGATTATTATTTAAAAATATCTTTTCTGTGACCTATGATATTTTTAAACTGATTCGTTAATATTTATAAAGGTTGATCTATTTTTAGGGTGATTCCGGCGGCCCAGCTGTGTTTCGTGGAACAGTATTTGGCGTGGTCTCTTTCGCGCGTGGATGCGCGTTGCCACTGTCTCCCACTGTGTTCACCAATATAGCGGCGCTGAGAGATTGGGTCACAGAGAACACCGGAGTATGAACGCGGCCGGAGGAAACTAAACTCTGTTGCAAGAGTCCACGATTCATTTTACAACAATCACATCTGTGATATAAATATATCTGAACATAAATACTCCCAGATGCTTTACCGTCTTCTGTTAATGTAGACTTTGATTGTTTATTTTGTTATATTTTTTAAATAAAATTTATCGAATAATATTGTTTACTTAGTTGTATTTCTGTCCTGGGGAAAACCTGCTAGAAACTCAGCGGGACTCCTTTTAAATAATATTCATAATTTACAGGGTACAAATATAAATAGCGATCAAATCATTGCCAGGGCACAGTATCAATCACGTATTCTTTAATATTATAAAAACCAACTAATCGTAATATCTTGGACACACGACAGTATGTTAGCCAAATTTGAAAAAAAATTATAACAAAAAACAAGTGATAAAATTAAAAAAATTGTGCAACTGACTTCAATATAAATAAAATGAGAACATCATCAATGAAGTCGAAGTCAATTAAATGCGCATTATTAATAACTCAAAAATTACTGGTCAGATCTTGATCAACCTTATATGAGATCATATGAGAATCACCAGCTTTAAAAAAAGAGCTTTCATAGAATCATCAAAATCGTTTCACCTAGAAAAAGTTCTGAAGTAACACACATTAAAAAAGTACAGCCGAATTGAGGACCCCCTCCTTTTTTGAAGTCGGTTGAAGAGTAAAATCTGATTCCAAAGAAGTAAGCTCAAAAAATAATTTAACATTCTGAAAACGGTATTAAGACAGTGTATAGAAGAATTTAAAGGCCCAACATTAGAATATGTGAAATTACTTTACTCTTTGAAAGTTATTTATTTTTTACCCTCACTAAGGAATATTACAAACTAAATGTTACTTAAATAGTTACCATAAAAACTTCATTCCCTATTTTACCACCTTAGGGGTTTGAATTTGTGGGACCACCCCTGATGTACTTACTAAAAAATATTTCACTCGTTGAAGTAGTGATCGTAAACGCGATTGTTGAATTCGGTTCGCATCTTGGGTTGAGCCAGTATAAGTAATTGGGATTTTCTATCAAGAAATTCACAGTAGCAGACTGGAGTCAAGAAGCACGTACACAATTGCAACATTATACATTATTTATTCTGTTAATAAATTAATACAATCGTCATTACAACCTACCACAAGTCCAGTGCTGATAATGAGCTTCTCCTAAAGAATGCCGCAAAGCATGGTACTGAACCATCTGCATCAATCGACTTCCTGCACCTCTAATCAGGTCGTCACTCCATATAGTTGTGGGCTGCCGTACACTTTGCTTACCGACTCGAGACTGCCACTGAGGAAGAAAGGTTTTCGAATAGGACAGAATAACTTTATTCATTATAGATACCAGAATATTCACACAGTGATTTATATTTTTACTACTGTAGGGAAAATTTCTGTCTTGGGAAGAATCAGCAAGAAACCTGGCGGGATGTTTTTGTTAAATATTAAATTTACAATGTAAGGTACGTAAGGGTAATATGGTCACCTTCAGTTTTACCGCCCTATAAAACCAAAACTAGGAGGAAGACAGAGACAAAAGTACAAAGTCGTATACTATAACTAATATATTAAGAAAAAAAAATAGCAAACAAACTTTGGCAATAATTAGGAACGCTTCGCAAAATCTGCTCAAAAAAACTAACTACACTGCACAGTACTAAAATCGACTAAAATATTTACTTTAATGTCACCTGTCAAAATGGCGTCGATAAAGTATAGCGCCCTTTCGGCTCCTTATTATTTGATTGACTAACGAAGAGCTATCGTACTCCTTCCTACGTATTACAGACTGTGCATCAGATATCTTTGCAAACAAGACTGTAGTTTTTGAATTATAAGAAAGTACTATAATATGTCGTACAGTAAAATGTGAAAACATTTAGAAAGAGTACACTCGTAGTAGGAACCACCTCATTCCCAGGAGTTATTATCTATCATGTATGGCAACCCTTGTTAAATTAATTTTGCTTAAGGTGAAAGCTCCAGGTTGGCCCGCGAAAATCAGATTTTCTTACGTTTTTTGGAATTTGCAGATCAGGGTCAGGTTGAATATTTAACAAAATATGATTCGCGACCGTAACGACAGACACGTGTTTACAGAATTATTATCATTAAAATCACCAATACAACCCTCTAAGGTCATATAATCCCTTTGAATGAGTTTTTCTGTAAATAGCCATACAATAGGATTATGCAAACTTAGAGCGTTGTATTGGTGATTTCAATGATAATAATTATATAAACACATACATGTTACGGTCGCGAATCATATTTTGTTAAACATACAACCTAACCCTGACCTGCAAATGCCAAAAAACTTAAGAATATTTGAATTTAGTGGGCCACCCTGGCGCTTTCACCTTAAACTTTTAATCATTTTGATAATAGGTTCTGTATATATACTGGGACTTTGTTGTAAAAGCTTAGGTATGTGAATTGCAATATAAAAATAGTTTTATTAAAATGGTGATGTAGTCCTTCATCACTGTATCAATGAAACTATTTTTGTCAGTAAAACTACTTTTTAAAAGGTCAAAGTTAATATATTTATTTCTTTAAATTTTTATCCAAGAGACAAATAGAGCCTTAGGTAATAAACTCTTATGACTCTTCAATGAAATGATTTAATGTCTCTCTCTCACAGGTATACGAGATGTTCCTAATCGGCTATCAATTCCGCGTTCTGTCACCAATTTTCACCATCCACTGGGGCCTTCAAGCTCGAAGAACGCGACCTTTGTGGCGGGAGAAGCAAAACGAAAAGAATAGAAAGCACTTCGAAACATTCAAACGAGAACTTTTCGCTAGATACAGGAAGGACCCGTTGCATTTACTGAGGAGACCACCTCAGCAGCAGAAGAAAGGATAGGCATCGCAAGGCCGAGCGAATGCCGCCGGCCTGTTTGTAACTATGTGGATGCTGTTGGGACTGTTTTTAACGTCAAATAAACATTTTTACCAGTGTAGATAATTTTGATAACATGCACTATAATATGTTTCTTTACTCTTGTGCTGTAGGTGCTTAGTGTTACGTAATGTGAAGACTTGTGGTATGCCCTTTGTAACTTTTTAACTTTGTACAGTGCGAGATGTCTATTTGTTATGCTGAAATTAAGTAAACTCTGTGTTTTAGTACAGATACAAGGTAAGGCTGACATTCGTTCCGGTTTGAAGCTTTGTGTTCCGGAGTTCTAATATGTGAATTATAAGTAGTTTTAGTATGATTTAAAAAAAAGTTATATACTTATAAATATTTTTTCCTTAATTTTATAAGCATAAGTAAAACATTAGAGGTTTTACTTATAATTGTTTACTATCGTTATCTTAAATTAATCATTAATTATCTGTATTTCTGTCTCTATCTATTGTCATTTAGAGAAGAGGGAGAGAGAGAGAGAGAGAGAAACGATGTTATAAGAGTAGTGTAGGTCAATGTCAGTCAATTGCTTAAAGGTAAAAAACGTGTGTAGCGGCGCTGTTTCGCACCATTGGTGAAACGAACAGACGCATAAATCACGCTATTAAAATTCCCAACCTATTCCAGTATATAAGCATTTCAGTATAGCTTGTTCTAAGCTCTGTACTACCACACAGAGCTTGCCCCTACTACGGCTGAATACCTTGCCTGGAGGAAGATCCTTTGTCCTTCCATGGCCAAGCGGGCAAAGAAACGTTATACCGATGAGGTCGTTAAAGAATTAGAATATTAGTATATTAATTTTAGACAAATATACATTATTATTGTATAATATAAGTTTACATTTTTTTAATAATTGTTAATAGTTATTTATGTAATAACATGATAATAGACGCTGGCTGCGTTTCCTCGCTGAATGGCTATAGATACTTGGCTTTTGCGAGAGAAAAAAACAAGAATTCTTGTGACCAGCGGCAACGACAAATCATGAATACAGTTCGTTTAGGAGCTTCATGTGGATCCAGGAATCGTTAGTCTCTACAGCTAATGGCACAAGTCGACTCACATTTGCACCATTTACTCTGTTCAGTTTAATAGCTCCACCTCTGATGCCGCTCTAACTCTACCCGAAAATGAGATACCCCTGAGAAGCCGCCAAAATGTCTACGCTCGTAACATCCCACACTAGATGTTTGCTTGTGTCCAAAGGGACCAATGTCATACCATCACGTCTCTTGCCGTTGTCACTAAATACAAGGCTTAAAAACTGAGGGAGCTCTTATAGAAACTAGAGCCTTTGGATAACAATGTTAACAGGTTAAGGTACACATGACGTCAGGTTATTTGAGTGCCTTTATGGCTTATTTCAAAACACAACAGCATTATGCTGCTATTCCATGCTGGTACATACATACATACTACTTGGTAATTCAAACAGCAAAGTGGTTTTATTCATTCATGTATCATGCAACGTGAATTTTGGATATATACATATATATATACATATATATATATATATATATATATATATATATATATATACACATATACATATTAATTCATATATATATATAAATATATATATAAATAAATTACAACCTAGTAGCCATGAGACAGGACTATTCGTGTGAACAAGCGTGATATTGTGTTGATGAACCGGGCATAAACAAGGATATTTTTGGTCGACATTACCATTCCGTATGACGAGAACCTCATGAAAGCCGAAACAGTTAAACGAAAAAAAATATCTGGACCCGACTCACGAGGTGATCGACATGTGGGGTGGTCTGCTGATCGAAACTATTCCTGAAGTCGTTTCGTTCTGATCTCGCGTGACCTGAGGCGACTGGGACTCCGTGACGGACCACCCTGGGCTCAAATGGATAAGGTGATACTCCTCGTATAAAAAAGAAAACAACTAACCTCTCCTCTTGAAGTTTATCGAAGCAATATAAATAAGGTTTTAGATGTGTTATCAATGATTATTTTGTCAAAAATATATATATTACTTAAATACATTTATAAATTTAAATAAGCCAAGTAAATTTATAATAAGTTATAACTATACCATTGTTCATATTCATATAAACAATTTATAATTAGACGTAATAGTGTAATTCGTATAAAATGTACATATTGTATTTAAGAATTTTCACTTATTTTTTTTGTTAATTACTTAGTAAATTAAATGAGCTTGTTAATATGTAAATTATTTAGGTGACAAGTACCCTTTTTATT